GTTAACTGACTTTATATATCTTCCTTATTGACATAGGGTTGTAGTAATGGTTGAATTTTGTTTAGGTTTGAGAAGAGAATTTACATCCCCTTACCAGAAGATATCTTGTCTTTAAAATGGTTAAAATGCCACTACTAAGCTCAGCTGAGTACGCCTTGTATTTAAAATAGCTAAAACGTCACTACTAAGCTCAGCCGAGTACGTTTTGCATTTAAAATAGTTAAAACGCCACTACTAAGCTCAGCTTGGTACATCTTGCCTTTATAAGCCCAGCTGAGTGTAAATTGCTTTTGAAATTCAGAGAGGTATCAGAACATGGGGGGGAGGGAGGAGTCAAGCTCTCCACGAGTTTCAATAGACTTACATTTTCCCCAACTTGAATTGATAGTTATTATTAAAGGTATAAGTCTTCCATGCGTTGTTATTTAATGTATATCTTAACTACTCTTGCTGTGTTTAACTGTTATCCAGAACTGATATAATAAAATAAACACATATATAACACACATAGTGTGGTAAAAATACCACTATACACTCTTCTTCTTCTTCTTGAAAAGCCCTGATGGATTGAATAAAAAATGTTGTGTTACAAAATATAATGGGACTAATACTATTGTGTTACGACAAATATAAGTAAGAATAATCATATTTCACTAGTTTAGAAATGGTGTTTATTCCATACCAGTATACACTTATCCTATGCTTTACTATAGGATAAAATTTTGGATAACACATTTTAATATTGACCTTTCACAAACAGTTATCAATAGCTTGTAACTTCTATCTGCATTTACCAAACTTGCCTGTTGATTTCTTATCTGTCAATCATTTTGTCAAAACCTTACCCCTCAGTTTTCTTGGCAAGTATACGTAAATCTTCTTCACTCAATGAATGGGGAGTATTTCCTATGTGTAGCTTAAAGATGCGAAGCCGTGCCAGTCTTTAAAATGGTTAAAACACCACTACTAAGCTCAGCTTGGTATCTTGTCTTTAAAATGGTTAAAACACCACTATTAAGCTCAGCTGGGTACGTCTTGTCTTTATAATGGTTAAAACACCACTACTAAGCTCAGCTTGGTAGGTCTTGTCTTTAAAATAGTTAAAACACCACTATTAAGCTCAGCTTGGTATATCTTGTCTTTAAAATGGTTAAAATGCCACTACTAAGCTCAGCTTGGTATATCTTATATCTTCATGTTAAATATTTTACACAGTCTTTCTTTACAGCTGCTTGAATATTTCATTCTTTTGTCTCTCTCTCTCTAAATGTAAGTGAACATCTTCAACCCCATTCTATATTGTAGCCTTTAACGTTAAATAAGTTCCGCCGAGTTACTGGAGTTAAAATAAAAAAGACATAACTATTGAACCTAACCGAGTACATCTTGTCTTTATAATGGTTTAAACACCTCTATTAAGCTCAGCTGGGTACGTCTTGTCTTTAAAATGGTTAAAACACCACTATTAAGCTCAGCTGGGTACGATTATATGTATAGGTAATAATCTCGTAACAGATCACTTCCTCGGCATGATTTTATAATTTATTATTATTTTTTTAGTTGTTGCGAATACAGTATTTAACCACTAATACTTTTCTGTTTGATTACAGCCCACTCTGGGAGATGATCCAAGAAGGCATAGATATAAAAAGTATCCAGTGGACACAACACTAAGGTGAAAAAAAAAAAACGGGTACAAATTTCATTTTTTGCATTTAAAGTTTCACAACAGAGCATGAAAGTTTAAGTATTATCCAAATACCTAAATTGTAAATAAAAGTTAAGTAGTGCTTAGTTGATTGTTTAATCTTAGCTTTTTTGAAGAATCAGTAATTAAAATAAGAAACAACAGAGTCTATTCACAAGTTCATCTTTAATGTACTTGTATACCTTTAATAAGAATTCAGACTTATTTTTAAGTTTAACCCTATTCCTGTCCCGTGAATCACCTGAATATCACATGTGATACACAACTACATTTATTTGATATGCAGCCGATGCTTGTGAACGTCGCAGTAGGAACTGGTTGTATGGGATTAGAAAAGAACTTTATTTGAGCCTTACTTGTGATGCTCAAAATGCACGCGAATAGTGATAGGTTAAGTTACTTTTGGTCAAGAGGAAATGTAAGCCTAGGATAAATACAAAATTGTATTTTATTAATTATTTTTCCATTACACTAATTTTGCAACAAATGGATAATTAAATCCATAAAAACCATTAAATGACCTTACGTGTGAGGGGTGCCCACATTGGCATGACTGTCAGAAGATTGGGAAATCATTTAAAAGAACAGTCTGTCATCATGCACTAGAAATGTGATGTGGTCCCATTACCCCCAAAGTGTTCGTAAGAATCACTAAAACTAAAAACGAGAATTTTGATTTGTCAAAAGAAGCTAAGATTAAACACTTAACAAAGTGCTACCAAACTTTTACTCCTAATTGAATTTTATTTAACATTTCTCTATCTTAGTTAGTATTTAAACTACGACTAGATCTCTTTAGTATAAATGCAGGAGAATAGTTTTCATAGCTTAATGTATAAAGAATCCGCTTTCGCCTATATAAATTCCAATACCGAGTCGGTTACTAGATGCGATCATACGTACAACTTCATCATTATCTGTAACTGGATAGAACGGACAAGCATGTTCTTAGAAATTGGTTGGTAGATAGTGATAACGTGACTTGTAAGATTGGTTTGGTAAATATTAGGTTTATATAAGTACACATTAATAACTTATCTACCCACCAGTTTGCAAAGATGAGGATGATAAAGTTGTATTTATATGTACGACTGCATTACAACAGTATAGCTCTGTGGAAAATTATTTTACAAAGCTATATTAATCTTTTTTTATTTCAGGATACAAGTAACCATGACAGTCAACATTGTTTCTTATCTAGTTGCGTTATTGATAATCAGGAGTGAGATATTTGTAAATTGCTATTGTAGATATGCAAAAGATATCGAGTTCTGCTGTAACCTTATTATCTCTTAATGTACAAGATGTAGTCGTGTGAATAAAAGTTTCTCCAAGTTTGTTACGTTGCCTTTCCTGTTATTAATTGCTTAAATTAAAAAAAGCGTATACATAATAAAATGTATTGCAATTACTGCCTTAATGATTATATATACACAAGGAAGTAAATGTAGGAATGGCATTTGCACCACCCCTACATAATATCACAGGCACGTAGTGTAGTAGAATGTTAACAGACAAAAATAGGATAAATTAAATTCTGTTATGTAGATATGATGCAAGTACCATCCTTACCTTTACAGAAAAAAACATTTTTGAAGTTTTTTAATGCAGTGTTCTAACTGTAATATTTATTGTTGGCTGATAATTCCTGTTTCACTCTGTACTTAAGTTTTTTAAAGGAACACCAAATGTCTGTAAGAAAGCTAACTTCAAGGGGCGATGATAACATCGTTTATACTATAATTGTTTTTAATTACTACTAATTTGAAACTATGTCACCTCAGTGAAATTGGTTGACACCATTGTTTGGTTATTAAGTTATATAATAAAGAAAGAACAAGAAAATGAAACTTTTTGTTATGATATTTACAGACATTCCTAAAACTTGTGACTCAGTCATTACGTAGATATTGTTATAAAAGGAAACACTGTATGGTATTGTAAAGTTCTGATGACCTATTGAGGAGATATTTAAAATACCAATTGGAGGAACAATTTGAGCCATCACTACAGAGGCAGTGCTGCCACCTGCTCAATATATTTTACACATATACAGTATTAACATCATATGTGAGTTCTGAGAACTTTATCCAACTTAAACCTTTTGTGTTTTACACCTACAGTTTAACCACAGTTAAAAAGACTCGGGGAAAGTTCACAATAAGAGATGAAGCATTGGCTCAAACGAACTGTTGTCTGAACTAACATTATTTCTTGTCAATAACATCACAAGTGTTACTGTAGCACAGTTGTAGAGGAAACTCAAACAATATAACGCACTCCAACTACACAAGTTTTATTTCAAATTATAACAATAAAATACATAGGCACACCTTATCAATATTTACAACGGAGGATACTTTTGTAACACGCCAGGAAGAAACAAAATCGAGCTAGCTAGTTGAAAGAAAAGTGTTAAGTTTCAATCAAGTATTAGTATTTTAATGTTTTTGATAAAAACGTGTAGTTTCTCTAAAAATGGATATTTCAGTCTATTCACAAGTTGATCTTTAATGTACTTGTATACCTTTAATAAGAAGTCAGACTTATTTTCAAGTTTAACCCTATTCCTGTCCCGTGATTCATGAACTTGAACAAATTCTTCCTGGCACATTACCACCAACATCTCAACTTTCATTCACTTGATTATATTTAATACGTTCTTCATACTTATCAACTTCAACTGTTTAACATTTCTTCTTTTTAAACATAACTATTTAAATCGGCAGAAAAATCCAATGTGTTTTACTTATTTTAAGCCATTTAACAATGCTAGAAAATGAATCTTACTTTTTGCTGCTGATAGACTATGATCAGATGAAGACACTAATAACAATATTCTGTGAAGAGAACAATGTACTTTATTTTTCAAACATTATTTAGATCGGCAGATAAAGCCAATGTGTTTTACTTATTTTAAGCCATTTAACAATGCTAGAAAATGAATCTTACTTTTTGCTGCTGATAGACTATGATCAGATGAAGACACTAATAACAATATTCTGTGAAGAGAACAATGTACTTTATTTTTCAAACATTATTTAGATCGGCAGATAAAGCCAATGTGTTTTACTTATTTTAAGCCATTTAACAATGCTAGAAAATGAATCTTACTTTTTTGTAGCTGATAGACTATGGTTAGATGAAAAATCTGTGGAAAAACAATGTAATACAGGCACTGCAATTCTGAACTAAACAAATGTACTATCAGGATGTGAGAAAACACTTTTATCATTCATAACAGGATTTAAATGAATGTGAGTCGTTCAAAACATTCATTTGTGATTGAGAAGTTGAATTGAACGATCTAATTATTCAAGCAAATCAGATTTATAGCTAAAATACAATAAATTCTTGTTACTGAAAAATCCAATTGACAAACTTAAAAGTATTGTCAGAACATTCAATATACAAGAAGATTACATCATTTTCTCATAGAAAGGATTCTCTTCTTTGGTCTTCCCGATGTCTTCATGCGATTTCTCCACGACAAAAAGTAAAATAAATTTTCAATTGGACTGCAAAAAAAAAAGAAAATAAATCAAGATGACCATATTATGCACAAATAATTAAAAATCGTGAATGTACCAAATTATTCCAGGACAAAAATTAGTTGTTAATTCAGTTTTTACAAGGGAGAATCCTTGAATGTCCTAAATCACAAGTTCCTATGTATTAACCAATTAGATTTTCTTTTGTAAATAATATTACTAACAAGTAGTTGTAGTGAAAAAAGCAAGCACATTGACTGATCTGATTTGTGGCTGGTTCAAATTCAATCTGGCTTCAGTTTTCTTCAGAGGATATACAACTTTTTAGGGTGTTAAAATATCCCCTATATCAATTCTGTTCTAGTTGAAAGTGTTTCCTATATTTAGTTATTAAACTGAGTATTACTTTTTCATTTACTGTTACTGTAGTTCTTGAAGGATATATTACATTCATCTGTCTCACATAAAACGTCAAGAACTTGAGGTGGCTTTAATGAACGTGACACTAACATTCTAGGATTAAATTGATTTTAAGGTACATAGGAACTATTGACCACTTTTGGACAGCACATGCAGCTTGCATCTGTATCATTTGTTCTGGTAATTTTGTTTTGGCAACATCTCCGTGCAGGATATGTCTCTCACTCCTGGGTTTTATATGTTGTTCTACCAACAGCTGTCTTGGCTAGTAGATAGGTCTCTCAAAGACTTGTGACATGGTCTTCCAGCTTCGGTGTCTTTTTCTTCAAGGGTTTCATTTCGTTCGTTTTTAGACCAACACCACATACGTTATCTTCTGTGTCCATGGTGGGGAATCAAACCCCAGATTTTATTATTGTAACTCCATAACCTTACCACTGTAAGGGGGCTCTTTCAAGGGTTCATCCATTCTGAATATTTATTGTATAGTTTTTAACCTTTTTTCTTTAACCCTACAATTATCAGTGGAATCCATAGGCCTTTTAAACAGCTTTTTATAAACTGCTTATGGATCATTGACTGTTAGTTACAAGTTCTCTTAATAACATACAAGTTACACAAAAAAATATGAACAAAATACCATAAATAACCAAACAAAAAAAACATTGGGTTTTGAATTAGCCATGGCATAGCAGCTCACAGAATGGCTCCGAGTGTTTTTTTTCAAGTACAAACTTTTGGCTCATAGCTTCGTCATCTCTTGACTGATTTGAGATCTAATTACAGTTTCGGAGTAGGTCAAACCTTTCGATTAATGTATCTGACCACGCCCAAGGTCTCATAGATTAATTTACTCTAATCCTGCCGAAAATAATTTCAAATACTAAGAATTTCCTTTTGTTATTTTTATGGGAAAAAAGCATGCAGATGAGTAAATTTATGTTCACAAATCTGATTAGTAAATATTTTTATACAATTGTAAACCAGGGGACCTATTTAGCTGTATCAGTATTTGAAAACATACCCAACTATGTCATCAGTTTAATATAGTAAAACAAAATGTTTTTTTTTTCAAAGCAAACGAAATGGATCCGCATACAGAAGTGCCTAAGAAATTGATAAAAGTTTTTGTTTGATTCTACTGCAATTAATCCCATTAGTTGACACTTGGGTCTCTAGGTATTTTACACGGCAAATGAGAGGTTTCACCCAAACCTTCTGTAGACTTTGGCACGAAGCTACTTAAGCCATTCTTAATTTTGAAGACATAGATAAGAGGAAAGGCAGCGTGTCAAACCATCCACCACCAACTATGGGATACTCTTTACTAGTGAATAGTGGAATCAAACAACACATAACAATACCCCCATATTTGAAAGGATGACCATGTTTGATCCCATGACCTGCAGCATTTGAGTCGAATAGCCAAACCAGCAGGACACGCCAGACCCAATGTTTTGGTCTGTTCTTTACATCAAGTTCAGAAACAAAGTTATCTGACATGATGCAATACATGTACCCCACTAATAGGGTATAGTATGAAAATAGTTTGAAGGTTTGTGGCTTTAACTGATATTCTTTTGTTTTTGAACACTGCTGTTTACTAGAACAGCTACAAGTTTTACTTGTTGTATTCCCTGGACCTTGTGGTCGGTCTCTTAAAAAAACAAGGGTTAGCACCAGGCTTTCCTCAAACCATATGTTTCTCTTACTATTAAAAGCTCTCAAGGTTTATAATTAGCTTTCTGGTTTTGTGATTCACATTACCATACTTAGGCTACAACACAACAGATTACTTTTTACACACTGAACGTGTTACTGTCTTCGTTCCACCACCCCATTCTGCTTTTGTACAATTTTCTTAAGGTGTTTGTAGGTGGAAATAATGGGCTATATTATTTGTAAGAGAAAGAAAAAAAATTTCTATATTTTAGCTAAACAGCGGAAGTTGTCTGTCCAAGACATTTTCTCTCTCTTATAGATGGCATTACCCTACTGAAGATAGACATTTATTATTAAGTCCTGTAATAGTTAAACATAACTAGACTGAACCATTTTTATATTGAAATGGATTCACATCTCATTTGAATAATAACTAATAGTTATAAGTTATTAAAATCAAATGATTTTATTACATAATTGACTGCTTCAAAACTGATAAGTAACTGAACGAGGTACAAAAGTTAACAAAAATACATCACTATCTTGTTTGATACAATACTGCAACGTCACTGACCTAAATGTTAAATAATTAAAAAACAAACAAACTTACTTTAACTGCATGTCTTTGCTAACCTTCCTGTCCAAAATCTTCCATAAAAGACTTAAGTTTTATCAAGTCCCCATCGTTAACTGTGGGTTTCGAATTAGCCAAAGATAGTAATACATCACTCTGGGGGTTAAAAAAAAAATTAGTCTAAGCCTAGAATTTACCTCGGGGTGTGGGATGACATTTCATTGTGAAAATATACAGGAGAGTTAGGTAGAGTTTAAAGCTTAAGTCCAGTTACCAACTCCCATGTGTTCTAAAGCACATATTTGTAAATGATGAGAAGTCTTGCCTATGTAGGTGGCTTTACAGCTACCACACGTATGTTTGTAGAAGACCAGAGAAAGCAGGTAAAATGTCTTTAGTTCTAAAAAAGTTACTGATACGAAGATTTGAAGATTATTTAACCAAACTCAACAGGTTACTCAGGTCTTTCTAACACCAGATTAAACTCGGTAATAAAACCAAACTCAACAAGCTAATCGGGTCTTTCTAACACCAGATTAAACTCAGTAATAAAACCAAACTCAACAAGCTAATCGGGTCTTTCTAACACCAGATTAAATTCAGTAATAAAACCAAACTCAACAAGCTACTCCGGTCCTTATATCACCAGATTAAACTCAGTAATAAAACCAAACTCAACAAGCTACTCCGGTCCTTTTAACACCAGATTAAACTCAGTAATAAAACCAAACTCAAAAAGCTACTCCAGTCCTTCTAACACCAGATTAAACTTAGTAATAAAACCAAACTCAACAAGCTACTCCGGTCCTTCTAACACCAGATTAAACTTAGTAATAAAACCAAACTCAACAAGCTACTCCGGTCCTTCTAACACCAGATTAAACTCAGTAATAAAACCAAACTCAACAAGCTACTCCGGTCCTTCTAACACCAGATTAAACTCAGTAATATCTTCAGATCATCACTTCATATCAGTAATGTTATTAGAACTAAAGACATTTTGCCTTCACTCTTACATTCAAAGGTGGTATACAAATATACATGTGGTAGTTGTAAGGTCACCCACATAGGCAAGACTTCTCGCTATTTACAAGTACACGTGGGAGTTTCTAACACAACCGGTCTTAAACTTCAAACTTACCTCAAAGTTCTTTTATCCATGATATCACTGATCATGCATTTAAATTTTAAAGTTCTGAAATACAGAAAGTATAATGAATTATGTCATAAAATAATAAAAGGTTAACATCTCTTTCTCAACTTTTCTACATTTTAAACTGAATGCTTTATAAACGTACATAAAAATATAAATGTAAGAACCACCAAAATACAACTGTAATTCCTAAAAGAATTAAAAGTTATAATAATACTAGTAAGTTTATCAATACCATGTCTTGTTAAGTAATTTAAATACAATAAAAGTTATAATAATACTAGTAACTTTATCAATACCAAGTCTTGTTAAGTAATTTAAATACATTAAAAGTTATAATAATACTAGTAACTTTATCAATACCAAACCTTGTTAAATAATTTAAATACATTAAAAGTTATAATAATACTAGTAACTTTATCAATACCAAGTCTTGTTAAGTAATTTAAATACAATAAAAGTTATAATAATAATAGTAACTTTATCAATACCAAACCTTGTTAAGTAATTTAAATACATTAGCTAATTATAAGTATTGTGTTTTCTGTTAAAATAAAAATATGAATTAGTTTGAGAATAGAGTTTTGTTTATTTTCTGAGTTAGTTTGAGAACAGAGTTTTGTTTATTTTCTGAGTTAGTTTGAGAACAGTGTTTTGTTTTGAATTAGTTTGAGAACAGAGTTTTGTTTTGAGTTAGTTTGAGAACAGTGTTTTGTTTTGAATTAGTTTGAGAACAGTTTTGTTTTGAATTAGTTTGAGAACAGAGTTTTGTTTTGAATTAGTTTGAGAACAGTGTTTTGCAGCTGTTTCCACAACTACTTAATGAGCGTTCTGTCCTTTGGATGACGGCACAGATTATGATTACAGCCTCTTCCTCTCAAAAGCCAGTACAGATACAGAATGGAAACATCTAGAATACTTTTATAATGTTTTGTACAATTTCTCTCTTTTTACCTACATTTTCAGTAATGCAGCCTCACAACAGGTATAATTTACAAAATACGTCTTAGCCTTAACTCCCTGCATATCCCATTGTTCAATCTTATAATTTAAAAAATTCAAGGTGAAATTAATTCAATGTTTTTTTATACTGAATATTATCATTTTCATTACCATGGAAACCACTGGTTCCAACAGCTTCTCTCCAGGTACGTCCATCCAAGACATCTCAATGGCCCCAGGAGAGCTAGGTGAACAAGGGGTTAACAGATCATCAACAATCTGGTTGGGATCACTTCTTGATGGGCCCCTCACCTAAGTATACAACAAGAAAAAGTCCATCCATTATTGGTGTTTGATGTATGATCTGCCCAGACATCAACAGAAGCGTCTAACATGATAAAGTTAGATACAAGAATATTTGCAGTATTACAATTATTTACCACACCACAGAATACTTGTTAGTGAAACAGTATTTAAGAAAAATAAGTGAATGCATCGTAGCAAATAATATTTTTTTTTACAGTAATTTTATTTTTATAATACTAATCCTATTTGTTGTTTTCTAGAATTTGTAGTGACAATAAAGTTCGATTATAAAAAAAACAAAATTACTTTTACTCTCCAAAACTACCAGTCCTTGTGAAGTCGCAGTGACAAAAACGTTGACAGAAATACAAACGTAATTTTTAATCATTATCAGAAAAAATAGTTTTCTTCTAACTTTATTGCCAAAATACAAATACTAGAGTAGCACGCGCTTAACATTTGTTTACAATTCCCAGCTAAGACCAGTTTAATTAGTTGTGAGATAAACACATGTATGATAACCTTCAATACATACCAGAAAAAAAAAAAGGGCCACATCTCTAGCATTAAGCTACAGAAACACACACACACACACACACACACACACACTTTAAATGCCTTGCAGTTGTATTATTAGCAATTCAAAGATTCTATTTATAGCTTACCCTGCGGAAGTGGGTGGCTGTTTGGACTTTCCTGACGGGCTGCATCAGAGCATCTCTAACAAGGACAGAAATGTCGGCTCCAGAGTAACTGTAAGGAAGAAACGTTGTTGATTTTCACCTGTGGACAAGATAAATAATTGTGTTTAGATTAAAAATTGAAACCGAAAAA